TTTTTTTTTTTTTTTGGTACCAGGGATCGAACTCGGGTCCTTGTGCTTGCGAAGCAGGTGGCGGAACCACTGAGCTAAATCCCCAGCCCCTATGATAGCAGATTTCTATGGAACACACAAAGAAAATCCCTGGCTTCACTTGTTTTACGAAAGAATGGAGCAATAATAAAACTCATCTGATTAAAAAAATTATGATAAATATACTTTGGAACTGAATATATCAATCTAAGAAATACTTGTTCTACCATGAAGAGCAATTCAGGAGTATTCAAAGGAAAAAGTTAGGTATCAGGATACAATTTGTGCTAAGAGTTGACTATTGGTCATTTTAAAGTGTTTTCCAGTTGTAGGCTTGAAATTTTATGTTCTTGCTCATATCTTGGAGCAAGGAATGCATTCTTGAAGCACCTACACAGTGAGATATATATAGATAGATAGATATAAAAATATAATTATATATATTCTACATACTATTATATATATTATATATATATATTTTTTTTTGCAGTGCTAGGGATTGAATCTAGGGCCTTGCACAGCCTATACAGTGTTATACAAGCTATGGTTCTAGGGCCAGGGATTAAGCTCAGTGGTTCCACTGCCTGCCCCGCAAGCACAAGGACCCAAGTTCGATCCCCGGTACAAAAAAAAAAACCAACCAAGCTATGGTTCTAGAATATTCAGTTTCCCTCATCTATGTCTAAATAAGAGGTTCTGTTATCTGCTGAATGCTAAGCCTTGAGAAATGCTCTTGTTTTCTACTACTTTGTTAAGAAGTATTCATAATGGTACCACAGGATCAGTAAGGGTCCCAGGAAGAAACAGATGGCAAATTTGAATTAGCTTTGTTTTTGGTACCAAGGATCAAACTCAGGACCTTGTACTTGTGACTGAGCTAAATCCGCAGCCCCTTGAATTAGCTATTTTGAGCATGGATTAATAAAAGGATTTATCAATCCCATGGGCTGGGTAAGAAAGCCCAAAAGAGATAATGTGCTAGTAATAGTTGGGCATAGCAGGATGTGGTGGCACATGTCTATAATTTCAGTGAAACTCTGTCACAAAATTTTAAAAAAGGGCTAGGGATGCAGCTCAGGGCAAAGGCCTTGAGGTCAATCCCCAGTACTGGGAGAAAAATAAAAGTTGGACATGAAGCATCAAATGCATGAAAAGGTTAGAAGAAATCCTGAGAGAAAAACTAAGTTAAAAGGTCCAGCTGAACCAAAGGTCCAACCGACACTGTGACTTTTGGACATGGGATACAAAAAACCAAAGGGAGTACACATGGACAAAGCTGGGAAATAAACATCCTGAACACACTCTCCTTCCACACATATGTCTTCCCATGTTCCCCAATGGTTCAATCAGAAACAACAGGGCATACCAAGATACTCATGTAATAGTACAAGATCCCAATGATGAATGTAACTGTATTTTATACCTAAAATGTACCAATAAACTTAATGGGAAAAAAAAAAAATTAAAAAAAAAAAAAGAAACCACAGGGCATCAGGCTCTGTTGGTACAGCACAATCGGCCCTCAGGTACACAGAGAAAGAGAGAGGAGTGGAGAGTGCGTGAGGAGGAGCACACAAAACATAACCTGTGTACCCACCTGGAAAGAGGAAGATGTGAGCTGTCTGATCAGGGAAAACTCTTTCCAAGCCCCAGAAATGAGACCAACATGACTGAGAAAACAAACAAAGCTGAACTAACCTTTTCTAGCTGATCCAGTTTTTCTGACCATTCCTAAAACAAAATAAAATAACAAAAAAGTAGTTTGCTGGGAAGAGTATCTGCAATACTAAAAACTTTCAGAAAACAAAATCCAACTCTCCCCCAAAACAACCAATCAAAAAAAAAAAATCCAAAAAACCAAATGCAAACAATAACAACACAAAATTCCCATAAACTTGGCTTAATGTTAACAAAACTAAAAGTCCTCAAAAGAGAAGATATTCTAGAATACAAATATAAGCCTGCAGATATTCACTAAGGAGGGCACCAAACGAAGCTCTATCTGATCTCAGCTAAGTGCTGAGCATTTCCCATGGGTGCTGTTTTATTTCTTAGGAATGGGCAGCTGGAAATGGCTGAGTTGGGTAACCCTGCAGTTTATGTTTAGAAATTAATTTACTGAAAGTGGTAGGGAGCATCATTAGCAGTTCCTGATAATTATTTTCCTTTTCATCATGATTTTACACACATGCTTTATGCCCTCCTGTATGAGGCAAAAGAAGCAGGATTATGCCTCTATTAAAAACCATAAAAAAGGGGAAGGGGGTAACCACTGGTACAAAAGGCCATATCCCTTTCGCTTTCGATCAGGAGATACCAACTGTGGATTATTTCTTCATTTGTATATATTTATACCACAGGTATCTGCTGGGTACTGGTGAATGATTTTTCGCTCTGGCTAATAAATGTTCTAGATGACAAATAAACACTTCAAAACACTCTATTCCACTTCCTACAGATGAAATAAATTATGCATTTTCCCAAATGAAATATAATAAACTGACCCTGTCTTAATAATTAGCACTACCATAAAACATTGATGCTTATCTTAAATTTAAAATGCTATTGATATATTAAGCAAGCTTTCTTCATAATTATTGTAATAGCTGGTAATAGTACTGTTTCACCTTCTTGTCATTTTTTTAGCATCTTTCACTGTGAGATTAAGAAGACACTCTCTGTTTGGCTGGCTGGTATTGAGGAAACTCGGGAATTGGGGCTGGAAGAACTATGCATTTTTTTTTTTTTTTTGGTATTGGGGATCAAACTCGGGACCTTGCACTTGTGAGGCAGGCGCCGGAACCACTGAGCTAAATCCCCAGCCCCGAACTATGCATATTCTTGCTAGCATAACAGCAACTTCTTCATTATAAAAGGCAAGTGCTGGGGTCTGGGGATTTAGCTCAGTGGCGCCGAGCTTGCGCTTGCCTCATAACCGCAAGGTCCTGAGTTCCATCCCCAGTACCAAAAAAAAAAACCAAAAAAGCAAGTGCTTGAGGTCTAGTCCTGAAACAAGTTTTTAGAGGCCACGGAGTTTTTCTTTATCTGGGAGCTCACTGCTAGGTTAGAAAACCACTATTTTACAATGCTCAGATGCAGAGAATGGTACATTCTGGACACATTTCCTGATTACAACTATAGTTTGACTTTATAAGAAAAAGTCAAATGAAACCTTAAAGAACTTATTATTTTGTCCTAGGTTACAAATATTTTCTACCTATTCCGGTTTTTGAAATTTTTCCACCAGTCTTCGGCAGTGCCACATATAAAATACCTGGTCCTTTCTGGCTAATGCCAAAGCCAGTCCTTCTGTCATTTTGGCTCTGTTGGCCTGGAATGCTTCATTCTGCTCTTGAAATTTCCGCATGGAAGCTGTTAATAAAGAGGCTCTATTTGAGATACAGAAATACTGCAGAAATAGCATGATACTTTATGCGATTACAACTATTATCAAACAAAAAAGGCTAAGGTCACATTAAGTGGATCATAAGACTGAGAAAAACCTGCTCCATCCTGACTTCCCAAAAGAACCCCTTGACCTTGGTAGAAGACCACAGATATGTTTGCTTGTTCAGTTCCTTATTGTTTTTGTTTTTGATACCAAGGATTAAACTCAAGACCTCGCACTTGCCAGGCAGGTGCTGTGCTGCTGAGCTACATCCCCAGCCATTTTTGTTTTCTGTATAGTGAAGTATACACACTTAAGAAGATGCCAAAATGTAATTTTTTATTTTTTTATTTTATTTTTTTTTGGTACCGGGGATTGAACTTGGGTCCTTGTGCTTGCGCAAAAAATGTAATTTTTTAAATGTATGACAAAACACTTAAGGTAGGTTGCCAGAAAACACCAATGCTATTGTTAAGTGACAGCTTCTACCCCTTCATCACCGTTAAAAACAAAAACAACATTCAAAACAAGGAAAAACAAAACTATCTTTAGTTTTCTCTAAAAATTTTAGAATATATCAACAAAAAATGGCTTTCTATTCCCAATACATCTTTCTTGGATAGTACCCAAAAGAGAACATATAATTTAGGGTAGATTAAACAAAATGTTCCATTATTGGAGGAGGGACAACAGAGCTTTCCCCTAGTTCTTGACACGCCAGTAATACGGCTGTGGCTAGAGCCATGAACTAACCTGAGGGCAGTCAACAGATGAGTCAACTTGATAGAGCAAGCTGATGTACACAGTGACCGACCCCTCCTCAGAAGCATGCCCACAAAACAACATAAACGCAAGTCGTATGCTTAGTAAATATTCAACTAATGTCATATCAAGCTAATTAAGAAGTATACTATAAAAAAAGACATGATGATAATACACAATTGTTTAATTTCAAAAACTAAACCCTGAGAAGATTGAAAAAAGCAGGAAAAAAAATACGTACAATCCTGGTGTTTTTCTAATGCAATTTCAAGCTTCTCTTTTATCTTCTGCAAGTTTCGGACCTGTTCAGCATAGTCTTGGGTGAGGAGGGTGATGCACATACCAGGAATGGACAAATATCAGGAAAGGAAGTTAATTAAACCAAAAAAATGAGTGAAAATGATGATGATTTTCTCAACTTAAATTCTGTTAAGGAAAGCTAGGCAGACAGCTTTCCACTAACAATGAATGACACAGGTAAACAGGTATACAAACTGTCCATGGTACAAATAGCAAATACAAACAGGCAGATTTGTTTAACCATGATATAGAAATAGAATTAGGCTGGGTCTGATCATCAGAAATGTCTTCCTATGAAAAATACATTATCTCATCATTTATTTTCAAGTCTCAATGTTTATCTCCCCTTTTGGCCTTAGGAGTAGGAAAAAATAAAAGCTCACTTATAGTCCACATAACTGAGCAACAGTGTTTAGAAAAATAGTAAATACATTAGCATGGTATCATTTTTAAGGTGAGGTACTTAATTCTCTACACGAGTGAGCTCCCTTTCTATATAGGAACTAAGTTTCCTATACTGTACCAAAGGTAAAAATCAGAATTTATTATCTGGGGGTCAAAGAAGATGGTACAGTATAATGAAAAAGTAGACAATATCCTGGCAGTCCTTAGCTGGGGACCTTAAGCAAATTATTGATCCTAAATACTAGTTTCTTTATATAATAAATCATGATGTTAATCATATCTACTTCCAAGAATCCATTAGACAATAAAGTATTTTATATGCCTTAAGTGCTTGGTGCACAGAGCTCACTAACAAGTAGCTGTTATTATTATTTATACAATAACAGGTCTTGCCTACAGGATACGATTCACAATATTAGGTGGACTGGACGATTGTCAGCTCTCTTCTCTGTCCCTTTACTAATATAAATCAAGCCCAACTGTCCTTCTTTCTCTAACAGGGAAGGTACATATTACTTTAGAACTAACTTCCCAATATTAGACAAATATAAAATAATTCCTTTTTTTTTTTTTTTTTGGCACTGGGGATAGAACCCAGGGCCTCTGCACTGAGTTACAACCCCAGCCTTTTTTATTTATTTTCAGACAGGGTCTCAGTATATTGCTAAGTTGCCCAAGGTGGGCAAACTTGTGTCCCGGTCTTAGCCTGGGTGGGTAATTTTGTCACTATTATTGATGTCATGTACAGGTAGAAGTAACAGGAGAGTAACAACTGAGTTTAAAGCAAACTATAATTAAGAGTGTGGACTTCAGAACCATCAAATCTGGGATTAGGTCCCCAGCTCTACCACTTACAAGTTGTTTAAATTTTGCTAAGCCTAGCAAGGCTATTCTGAGGACAAAATGATTAACTAATAGTTGTGAACTACGCTATGTATCCTTTGAGAGCTACACAAATATAAGTATTTCACTTATAATTTGTGGCATTTTGGTCTACTGCTTTTACTCTCAGAGATGAGGCATAAAGCCAAAGAATAAAAAGACATGCAGAAGCCATGGACCAGTTCACAGGATGAAGCTGTCAAAATGTATCCACTGGCTGATACCAAAATAAGAACTCTCAATTCTATTACAGCCACGCCTTGCTCAGGCAAAGGATGTAATGGGAGAGGTGCAAATTGTAAACTACACATAAAGACATAATGAGAGTTATATCTTCTATAAGAAGTGGGTATTGAACTTAGAAATACCATTGAAATGTGACCCAAAGACCCACAATGACACTTCATTTCTGACTAAGAAGATCAAACTGTTGTATCAGAGTAAGTGTACAGTTATCCTATAAGGCTGTTTTTAGGGAAAGAGAGTCAGGCAAGGCAAGTCTCCTATTTACTATTTATGACTTCTAGACATACCAGAAAGTCTGGCCTCCAACTTCCGTATCTGTTCATTTCTTCTCAAAAGTTGGGATGAAAGATCCTCTCTAGAGCTGCTTCCATCAGAAGCCTGTTGGGACAGGAGAGAAGTCAGAGTCACAGAAGGGTTTCCAGCAGGGTGAGACTGCAGTACCATGCTAAAAAGAGACAATTCTTATTTTAAATTTGGTTATATGCTAAGTAATTGTGACCACTGAAAGGTTTAACTGGCCCTAGCTCTTCTACCTGAATAGTGGAAGTAACATTAGCTCCCTCTATAACATGAAGGAGAAAGACGATGCTAAACAAATAAATCATGTATATGTATGCTACTGAAATAAATGGTAGTAAATCAATTTGCTAAGATCATATTACACTAAGTAACATGAAAAAGAAATCATGAAAAAGAAGAAAAAGAAAAAAAAATCACATTATCTTTCAAAAGTTTAAATTCCTGGGATAAAGGCAGGAAAGTTCTTCAACCTGGGATCAAAGTCTTGCCTGTGACTAAAAATCTGTCCTGATACTGATAAAGCTTCAGTATCTTCATCTATTAAATAAAGTGATGTCAACCTAAATCTCTAAAACCATTAAAGACTTTCACAGATAACATGCATTCAATAAAACAATACATTAATTATACATCTATTTTCTCCAACAACCCAGAGTAGTTTAAAACTTATGGGTTAAAAAATGTACAGACAGAGGAGGTGAACCTTCCAGTCCACTGTACCACTGCCCCCAGCACAGAGGAGCAGAGTTGTCCCCAGCAGAGAGGAGGTGAACCTTCTGGGCTGCCATACCACTGTCCCCAGCACTGAGGAGGTGAGCCGGGTGGGTGTCAGCAGCATACCCCCCCAGCTGAAATGAGAAGACACGTAAACAAGTCTCAAAACCAGACTTCTGGATCACCTAAAGAAAACCCAAAGGGAAACAAGATGGAACAATCTGATAATCACCTGGACTCCCTGAACTGGCAACAAAAGAGGATCTGGAAAAAATTGATCAGAAATTATTTCTCAGATAACAGCAGAGATTCTGGCCATAGTGCAAGACATGATTAATAAATCTAGAGGGGACACATTAAAAAAATAGAGGAGCTGAGGAGCATGATAGAATCCCAACATAGGAAACAAATGGAATCCATAAAACAGATGCAAGCAGATTTCCAAGAGATTAAAAAAATCCACTGAAAGTTTATACAGCAGAATGAGCCAATGTGATGACAGAATTTCAGATACAGAAGATAAAATTGGAATTAGTGAACAGGAAAAGCAAAATTTCTTTAAAATTGTAAGGGACCACGAGAAATCAATCCAGCAGCTGCTAGAT